GGGGTATCTAAGCAGCAGGCCTGCAGTCCAGCCCCTCCATAGCTCTGGAAAGGTGGTGCGGTCACAACTGCGCAGTGTGCAGGAAAACCCACAGTGGCACCGGAGGGATGTGCTTCCTCCTGACAACAGGGACGTGCGCTTCCATCTCTGGAAGTATGGCTGTGGGTCTCCATTTTGTTACCTGTCCCCATTGGGCTGACTCAACCCCAGAGCACTGCTGCCCAGGGCCTGAGCTCACCACACCCCTCTCTGTCCCGCAGGTGATCAAGTACACACTGGACCCCGTGTGGAAGCCATTCACGGTGCCCTTCGTGTCCCTGTGTGATGGGGACATGGAGAAGCCCATCCAGGTGAGGGGGCCTTGGGGACCCTGCTCCCCACCTTGCCAGCTCCTGCCTCCCGGTCCACTTGAGGCTCCCGGGATGCCTTGTGAAAGCTCTTTCTCCTACAAATGGAAAGAACCCCATCTTCATCCTGGTCTTCATCCTGGATCTGTCTGATGTCCTGAAGTACCTGGGCAGGGCCCCCACCTTTGAGCCCCTCTCTAAAACTGCCTTGCCCGTCCCGGAGGGCTGTGGAGCTGCTAGCTAGGGAAACACCTTGGAAACGATCAAATGTGGCGTGACAAGGACAGTGATTACCTGTCTCTCTAAAAGCGCTCAGTCCTCTGGCCAGGCACAGTGTCTCCTGCCTGTAATCCCACCACTTTGGAATGCCAAGGTGGGCAGATAACTGGAAGTCAGGAGTTCAAGACCAGCCTGGCCAACATGGGAAAACCCCATCTCTACTAAAAATACAAAAATTAGCTGAGCATGGTGGTGCATGCCTGTAATCCCAGCTACTCAGGAGCCTGAGGCAGGAGAATCGCTTGAACGTGGGAGGCAGAGGTTGTAGTGAGCCCAGATTGAACCACTGTGCTCCAGCCTGGGTAACAGAGCAAGACTCTGTCTCAAAAAAAAAAAAAAAAAAAAGATTATATATAAAGTGTAATTAAATAAACAAATATTTAAAAGCTCTTAGTCCCTAGGGGCTGGGTCTGAGAGCAGATGAGGTTGGGAGACAGCTAATCAGGACGGGGATTCCCAAGTAGGGTACCAGGAATCTTGGGTTCTAGCACTGGGTCTGCTACTGCTGCTGTGAGCCTTTGGGTAGGTGCTTCTCTTTCAGGGCTTCAGTTTACCCATCAGTAGGATGGGAACAATAATCCCTGCCTTCCTCCTAGGAGGGTCCTGGCAGCTCAGTTAGACAGCATATAAAGCTGTGATTTCTGTGTCCACCTCCGAAAAAAATATGTCTAGAGAGGGCCCCAGGCCATAAGCTGAGTAAGTCACAGCCTGAGGCAGATGGGGAGCCAGTTGCCAGGTGTGTGAGGAGCGGAATTTCCTGCACTAGAGGTTACAGTCTCCATCACTGGGGCAGACACACTTTCTCCTATTCCCAGCAATCACGGAAGGCTTCCTGTAGGAGGCAGTTCATGAGCTACTGAGGCCAGCTAGGCAGATGCCGAGGGGAGGCACTACCTAAACAGAAGACAGAGGGTTTGCTTGGGGAGTTGAGAGGGGCTGGAGAGCACCTCTTGGGGGACAGCTGTGGGATGACCATGCTGAACCCACCCCAGGTCATGTGCTACGACTATGACAACGACGGGGGCCATGACTTCATTGGCGAGTTCCAGACCTCAGTGTCACAGATGTGTGAGGCTCGAGACGGCGTCCCGGTGAGACGGGCATGTGTGCTGTAACCCCGAGGCCTCAGCAGGGCTGCGGAAGGGACGCAGGGTCTTGGGTCAGGCAGCCTGGGGCTCAGATCCCCCTCCTGGCTGCATGACCTTGAGCAAGGCATTCAGTCTAAGACTCAGTTTCTCCATCCGTCAATGGGGGCAGAGGATTTGGGTGGAGATTAAATGAGCTGATGCGGGTGAAGTGCCCAGCACGTAGTGAGCAGTCAGGAGCTGTCCTTTTAAGTCCTCCTCTGATGTTGGGCCCTCAGCTGGACAGGATGGGGGTGGGGGTGTGCTACTTGGGGAAGAGGGAGGCAGATGCTGATCCTGCTACCATTTCTGGGTGTGGACATCCCGGGAGGCTCCCTGGAGGAAGCATGCTGCCCCCATTGTAGAAGGGATTCTAGGGCCATGGGAAGGATCTGTCCCCAGAGAAGCCCTGAGCTGAGTCTCTTTCTTCTCCTGTGTTGCCCAGCTGGAGTTCGACTGCATCAACCCCAAGAAGCAGAGGAAGAAGAAGAACTATAAAAACTCAGGCATCATCATCTTGAGATCTTGCAAGGTGAGCCGGCACACCACGGGCCCAGAGCCAGGTCTAAGGCCACACGGAAGGGATAGACAGAGCATTGGGTCTCGAGCCAGTGAGGCCTGGGTTCAAATCCTGGCTCTGCCACATCCTGGCCCTGTGGCCTTCTGATCTTAACCTCACTGGGCCTCAGTCTCCTCATCTGTGGAATGGAGACATTAACAAGGCAGAGCATATCCAGGGTTAGTCTTCTATCGCGTTCCTTTGCGGAGGCCGAGGAAGCATGAGCTGACCTTCCAGGGCCTGTCCTGGTGGGAGAGTCATCGTTTCGAGCTGCCACTGCCCACGGTGGGCATGCAAGGGGCAGAGAACATTGGGTGGGGGCACCCTGTCCTCTCTGGCATCCGTGTCACTGTGACTGAGTATAGCCAGGACCACTGAGGCCTCTGGAAGTATGGCTGTGGGTCTCCATTTTTTCACCTGTCCCTATTGGGCTGACCCAACCCCAGAGCACTGCTGCCCAGGACTTGAGCTCACGAAGTTCCTATCAGCAGTGGCTGGCCTGTGGGCGGGGGCCAGGAGACCTGGTGGCCAAATAACTGTTGGATCTGGCAGGACATTAAGGAAGGCAGCATGGGGTGAGGGAGCAGGAGCCCTGGGCTCTGGCCTGACAGCTCAGGAGTCCCAGCGCTGCTCTCCACCAGCGGGTGGACTCCAGACCTGAACCTTATTTGGAGCCTCGTCTGGCTACGTTTACACAAACGCTCGTGATGTCATGACAGAAAGTGCTCTGTAAAAGATCAAGCTGTCAGGTTGCAGCCTCGCGATGGATGGTCCTTGTTTCTGAAATTTCCAACATTCACAACACTTTTCACAATTTCTGGCACCTGCCTTACTTATTTTTTTGAATCAGCCTTTCTTCCCTGCATTATTGCTTCTTTTTTATTTGTTTGTTTTTTGAGATGGAGTCTCACTCTGTTGCCCAGGCTGTTGTGCAGTAGTGCAATTTCAGCTCACTGCATCCTCCGCCTTCCAGATTCAAGCAGTTCTGCCTCAGCCTCCCGAGTAGCTGGGATTACAGGCGTGCACCACCACGTCCAGCTACTTTTTCTATTTTTAGTAGAGATGAGGTTTCACCATGTTGACCAGGCTGGTCTTGAACTCCTGACCTCAAGTGATCTGCCCACCTCAGCCTCCGAAACTGCTGGGATTACAGGCGTGAGCCACTGCAGCTGGCCGGTTTTTTTCTTTCTTTTCTCTCTCTCTCTCTCTCTCTTTTTTTTTTTTAAGTACATTTATTTAGAAAGGAATTCTTAGAACTCTACTAAAATTAAAAGGTCTGCTTCTTTGCCAAAAGGAGACAAAGACCATCAGAACAAATACAGTCTTTTAACAGCCTGATCAGCTTCTAGAGGAAGGCCTTGAACTGGAGGCCTGCTCTTTCTCTTTGTTAAAAAAGTAGATGAATAAGGGCCAGGAGAAGGTACGGGCTGTTAGGTACTAACAGTCCGTACCTTCTCTGTCAGGTAACCAACACTGGGCCCTGGGACCCTGGCTGGAATCAGCATGTGTCTGTGTATCTGGGGGGTGCAGGGGCCTCTGTGAGTCCTCCACCCATTGGGAACCAATGCACTGAAGGCTTCTTGCTAGAGAGATTTGGGTTTTGTTGTAATTAGATCAGGCCCATCAGCTTTTTTTGACCTTGTCCCTGCTGAGGCTGCAAGACATAGAGCGACAACTCCCCCATGGGGAGTGTGACCAAGTCAAGGGGACCCACTGACTCACCCGCTTTCTTCCAGATAAACCGAGACTACTCCTTCCTAGACTACATCTTGGGAGGCTGCCAGCTCATGTTCACCGTAAGGCTCTCCCCGCTGGTCCCCTCTGCACTCCCATCCCAGCGAGGGTCCTCCCTGAGGACTTAGGCCACTGCTACAGCCAGAGGGACTTGAGATAGGCTTCAGGAAGGACTTCCCTGGGGCAAGGGATGTGTCTGGCCCAGTAGAGAGGGCATGAGTGGTATGTCTGGTCCTGCTGGATGGGCCTGAGTTGGGGCTTAACTACAGGTCAGAGCATGGCTCCACAGCTATCAGTCTGGTGGAAAAATACAAATTCCTCCTCCCTGGCAACAAGGCCTTCAGCGATCTGGCCCCTGCCTCCCTCATCTGCATTCTCCTTCCTCCTCGCTCACTGGGCTCTAACCACACTGTTCCTCTGTTTGCCCAACACACCAAGCTCGACTCCATCTTAGAACTTTGCATTTGCTGTTCCTTCTGCATTTGCTGTTCCCTCTGTCTGAAACACTCTTCCCCAGAACCTTCACATGGCTGCCTCCCTGCCATTCTTCAGGCCTGAGGAGGTAATAGAGGTCACCTTCCAGGGATCCCTCCCTCCCTCAACGCCTTCCTGTTCCTCTGTCCTGTTTTCTCTTTTTCTTCCTTCCTTCCTTCCTTCCTTTCCTTCCTTTTCTTTCTTTCTTTCCTTCTTTCTTTCTTTCCTTCTTTCTTTTCTTCTCTCTCTCTCTCTTTCTCTCTCTTTCTCTCTTTCTTCTCTCTCTCTCTCTTTCTGATTGAGTCTCGCTCTGTCACCAGGCTGGAGTGCAGTGGCACAATTTCCGCTCACTGCAACCTCTGCCTCCCCAGTGATTCTTCTGCCTCAGCCTCCTGAGTAGCTGGGACTACATGCGTGCGCCACCACGCCCAGCTAATGTTTGTATTTTTAGTAGAGATGGGATTTCACCATGTTGGCCAGGATGGTCTTGATCTGTTGACCTGGTGATCTGCCCACCTCAGTCTTCCAAAGTGCTGGGATTACAGGCGTGAACCACCAGCTCCTGGCCATATTTTCCGATTTTCTTTCTTTTCTTTTTTTTTTTTTCGAGACAGGGTTTCATTCTTTCATTCTGTCTAGAGTGCCGTGGTGCGATCTCAGCTCACTGCACCCTCTACCTTCAGGGCTCAATCGATCCTCCCACCTCAGCCTCCTGAGTAGCTGGGATTACATGTGTATGCCATCAAGCCCAGCTAATTTTTGCATTTTGGGTAGAGATGGGGTTTTGCCATGTTGCCCGGGCTGGTCTCAAACTCTTGGGCTCAATCGATCTACCCACCTTGGCCTACCAAAGTGCTGGGATTACAGGCATGAGCCACTGGGCCCGGCCCTCCCTATTTTCATATTTTCTGGGCACTTGCTGCCCCGAGATTCTTTTGCATTTGTTGCTTCTCCTTGATGGTCGCGCCCACTGGAATGTGAGTGCTTTAAGTTTGGGCACTTTGTTTATTTTGCTTCCACTCCAACCCCAGCATATCACACAGTACCTGGCACATAATAGGTGCTCGATCATTTCTCGTTGGAAAAATAAACTGTCACCTTGCCTGTGGCCTAGGGTCTTTGCCCTCCAGACTCTGTGCCATTCATCCTGGCTTTGGTTGCCTACCCCAAGGGACCCTCAGACCCAGCAGGAAGGAAGCTGCTGGGCTGCCCCGCTCTGCCAACCTCCCCATGTTATCCCACCACCCTCCATCACCACCCCTAGGTCCCAATGGGGAATGGAGGGCATTGCAGGACACCATGGAGTCAGAGGATTGGCCTTACTGACCTCTGACCCTGATGCCCACTGCTGTCCCCTCCCCTGCAGAGACTCCAGGCCCTCCTGTTCCTCCTGCATGCATTTATTCATTCAGCAGACGCACACTGACTGCCTCCTTTGTGCCAGGCTCCCAGGCTCTAGGCTGTGTCCCTGCAAGGGTCCCTCGAGGACTAAGACTCGAGGAGTAAGACATGCTGCCCCTGACCTGGGGGAGTGACCCTCTAGCCACACAAGGATTTGGATGGGTGACCCCTTCTCTCCTAACCCACAGCAACTGAGTTCCCACGTAAATCTTTCCCTGGGTCCTACTTCTAACCCTTCTCTGCTGGGGAGGGGCCACTCTTGCCCACCCCTCTGTGCTGTTTCTCCAGGGACTGGGCTGGGATTCCCTGGAGCTGAGAGAGCAGGTAGAGCCCCAGTCCCTGCCCACCCATCCGCCCTGAGTCTCTGTTAAGCACCTGACTTGTCTGCTGTTCCCAGCCCTGGGCCAAGCTTCTCCAGAGCTTGTGCCTCACCTGTGGTGAGCTCCCAGCTGATCAGGGAGATGGGCACTGTTCTACTAGGCAGCCCCAGGTCCCAGGTCCCTTGGTAGTCTGAGGGATGATGGGGAGATGGCTTGGGTTGGGGGTGAGGTATCTGGGAAGGTTGCAGTAGAGCAGCAGCATCTGAGTTAGGCCTGGAAGATGGAGCAGAGTTAGATGGGGAGAGACGATGCCCTGGCTCTGCATGCAGAGGGAAGCTCGTGAATAAATGCCTACCTGTGGGGATGGATGAATGTGTGGGTAAGGATAGCAAGGAAGAAAAGCCATCTGGGACTGTAAGTTAGCCTTATGTCATCCCATCTAGGCAATGGACTTTATGCTTGGGCAATAGGGAGCCATAGATGGCATTAAAGCAGAGGAGTGATACAATCAGACAGGTTCTAGGTTTCAGACCATCTTATTGTGGGGAGGGCTGGGAGATGAGTGGGCTTCCCATGTCCCATCTACCTCTCGTATTCCGTGGGAGTGGGATAGGGTGCTGGGGTCTCAGGCCACACTGAGTAGCCTTTTCCTCCACTCCGCAGGTTGGAATAGACTTTACAGCCTCCAACGGGAATCCCCTCGACCCTTCCTCTTTGCACTATATCAACCCTATGGGCACCAACGAATATCTGTCGGCCATCTGGGCTGTTGGGCAGATCATTCAGGACTACGACAGGTAAGGCTGGAGAGGGGCTCTGAAGGTCAGCTAGGGTTCCATCCAACCTGGGAAGCTCAGTGTGTCAAAGCTGGAAGGGACCCAGAGATCATCAAATCTAGGAATGGACAGCAAATGGCATAGGTGCAGTTATTACCCATTCCCATACTCATGGCAGACATTGCTAATCAATTGCTGAACATGGTCCCTGTCCTCAGGAAGTTCTCACTTAAAGAGGAAGATAAGGAAGACATCATTGGACTTCCGAGAGACCAGTTTACATGTGAAGCAGAAGCTATGGGAGCACAAAAAGAGAGGCATTGTAGGGTATCAGGGAAATCTACAGAGAGAAGGGGCCATTTTGATCGGGCCTTAGAGGATGAGTAGGAGTTTGCTAGGGGAACTAGATTAGGGAGAGATGTTAAAGATGGGGGCACAACAACATTGAATTTGGAATGTGAAGGTACCCTGTGTGTTTGGGGAACAGCAAGTGGCTACTGGCCAGGGCTAAGGGAGTGGGGTGTGAGGGGGAGCAGGCAGAAGGAGATGAGACTAGGCGCTGGGGCTGGATGATGACCTTGAATGCCACAGGAGGGTTCTCATATTAGGAGAGTCTTCCCCAGCTATGAGCAGGAGGTTGAGAGACGGCCAGTAAATTCATTCTACTTCCATCTCGACCTTGGTTTAGTGGCTGGCTGGGGTCTCAGTTTGAGAAGGATCTAGAAGCTGTGGCCAAGCCCATTGGTGAGAAGTACCATTGTTGGGCCGGGTGCGGTGGCTCACGCCTGTAATCCCAGCACTTTGGGAGGCCGAGGCAGGTGGATCACCTGAGGTCAGAAGTTCGAGACCAGCCTGACATGGAGAAACTCTGTCTCTACTAAAAATACAAAATTAGCCAGGGGTGGTGGCAGGCACCTGTAATCCCAGCTACTCAGGAGGCTGCGGCAGGAGAATCGCTTGAACCAGGGAGGCAGAGGTTGCGGTGAGCTGAGATTGTGCCATTGCACTCCAACCTGGGCAACAAGAGCGAAACTCCGTCTCAAAAAAAAAAAGAGGCTGGGTGCCGTGGCTCACGCCAATAATCCAAGCACTTTGGGAGGCCAAGGTGAGCAGATCACCAGGTCAGGAGATCAAGACCATCCTGGCCAACATGGTAAAACCCCATCTCTACTAAAATACAAAAAATTAGCCAGGCGTGGTGGTACATGCTTGTAGTCCCAGCTACTCAGGAGTATGAGGCTGTGGAATTACTTGAACCTGGGGGACGGAGGTTGCAGTGATCTGAGATCGTGCCACTGCACTCCAGCCTGGTGATAGAGCAAGACTCAGTCTCAGAAAAAAAGAATTACCATTGTGTCTGCCACAGGTATAGATGTGGTCAGGCCACATGTTCACCAGGTCCCCGGCGGTGGGTTGGGCTCATAAAGTAGATGATCCTAGCAGCTCTTTTTAGAGGTGGTGAGCGCCTGCTTTCTGTCCTTGGAAGTATACGAGGCAAAGCGGGCCCAGCCCTGGACAGAGGGTCTGGCAGTGTCTTCAGGTGTCTCACGGTGTGTTTCTCTTCTCTCTTTGATTAGTGATAAGATGTTTCCAGCTCTGGGATTCGGGGCCCAGTTACCCCCAGACTGGAAGGTGAGTGAAGCCGGAGTCAGTTTCCTTTTGGTTGAGATGGGGTTTGTGGGTACGGCCTCTCTAGGATCTGCTCTGGAAAGGTCTTGGGCTGGGGCTGTGTTGCCTTGCCTTCCCTGTGTTCACCCCAGGCCACACTCATTTCTCAAGCCAGATCCTCGGGCAGGCACTGAAGCTGTAACGGGGCAGTACAGTTATGTTCTCTGCTCCTGAGACCCACGTGGAGTGGGGAAGACAGATAGGATTGCCAGAGATCGCAAATCAAAATACAAGATACCCAGTTAAGTTAGAATTTCAGATAAACAATTTTCATTTTTATTTATTTATTTATTTTGAGATAGAGTCTTGCTCTGTTGCCCAGGCTGGAGCGCAGTGGCATGATCTCGGCTCACAGCAACCTCCGCCTCCCAGGTTCAAACAATTCTCCTGCCTCAGCCTCCAAAGTAGCTGGGATTAAAGGCATGCACCACCATGCCCAGCTAATTTTTGTATTTTTAGTAGAGATGGGTTTGTTTGTTTTGAGACGAAGTCTCGCTCTGTCGTCAGGCTGGAGTGCAGTGGCACAATCTTTGCTCACTGTAACCTCTGCCACCTGGGTTCAAGTGACTCTCCTGCCATAGCCTCCTGAGCAGCTGGGACTACAGGTGCACGCCACCACACTCAGCTAATTTTTGTATTTTTAGTAGAGATGGGGTTTCACCATGTTAGCCAGGATGGTCTCCATCTCCTGACCTGGTGATCTGCCGGCCTCGGCCTCCCAAAGTGCTGGGATTACAGGCATGGGCCACTGTGCCCGGCCCAGATAAACAATTTTTAAAGTATAAATATGTCCCGAATATTACTTGGGACATAGTTACACTTAAATCATCCATTGTTTATCTGAAATTCAAGGTCTTTTTGGAAAAATTAAATTTTGTATTTGTAAGGACCTAGGGGTATGAGGACACTTGTGTTACGAGGATGTACTGTGTGAAATATGGACTTTAAGTGTATCTATCACCCAAATAGTGCACGTTGTATGCAGCAGGTAGCATTTCCTCTGTCACCCTCCACTGCCCTCCGTGTGGAGTCCCAGTGTCTGTTATTCACCTCTGTGTCCGTTCTGTGCGCACCCATTGCTGGCTCCCTCGTGTGAGGGAGAACATGCAGTTTTTGTTTTCTGTTGCTGAGTTATACTGGGCATCCTGTATTCTATCTGGCAACACTGAAGACAGGCAGTGTCGTCGGTGCGGAGGTGGGAGCAGCATGGGCCTGCGGTAGCTGAGGAGGGAACCCAACCCAGCTTGGGACCCTCAGGCTTCCTGGAGGGTGCAAGCTATAAGCCAGGAGGGAACAGGGAAGTAGGAGAGTGCCTAGGGGTGGCAGTGGGGCGGGGGCAGCTTCCTCACCGGACAGCCTGTGCGAAGGCTGCAGGGTCAGCTGGAGGAGCTGGCAGAGGCGGGTGACTAGACCCTCCA